GCTGGGGAACTGCGTGATCCTGTTCATCGTCAGGAGGACCCCGAGCCTGCACGAGCCCATGTACTATTTCCTGTGCATGCTGGCCCTCACGGACCTGGGGCTGGCCCTGTGCACCCTGCCCACCACGCTGGGCCTCTTCTGGTTCGGCGCGCGCCGCATCGGCTTCGACGCCTGCCTCACGCAGATGTACTTCATCCACATCCTGTCCTTCATCGAGTCCTCCGTGCTGCTGGCCATGGCCTTCGACCGCTTCATGGCCATCTCGCACCCGCTGCGGCACGCGGCCATCCTCACCAGGAGCACCGTGCTCAAGATAGGCCTGGCCATCGTGCTCAGGGGCGTGCTCTCGCTGCTCCCCATCCCCTTCCTGCTCCGGAGGCTGACCTACTGCGGCAGGACCGAGCTGTCCCACTCCTTCTGCTTCCACCCCGACATCATGAACCTGGCCTGCGCCGACATCAAGGTCAACATCTTCTATGGCATGATCGTCCTCCTGTCCACCGTGGGCACGGACTTCATCTTCATCGTGCTCTCCTACATCCTCATCATCAGAACCGTGCTCAGCCTCACCACCAGGGAGGAGTGCCTGAAGGCCCTGAACACCTGTGTGTCCCACATCTGCGCTGTCCTCGTGTTCTTCATCCCCATGATTGGGCTGTCCATGATCCACCGCTTTGGGAAGAACGTCCCTCCCCTGGTGAACACCTTGGTGGCCTACACCTACCTCATCATCCCCCCTGCCCTCAACCCCGTCATCTACAGCATCAAATCCACCCACATCCGGGAGGCCCTGCTCAGGGCCCTGTGCAGGAAGCGGGGCTCTCGCTGGTAGCTTCCTCCTCCAGAGGTGCTGCCAGAAGGTGCTGATGGGCTGGGCTGTGTGTCAGAGCTCTGGGACTGGGCTGTGTGTCCGTCAGACCCCTGGGCTGGGCTGTCTGTCTGTGTGCCAGACCCCTGGGACTGTGCTGTGTGTCAGAGCTCTGGGATGGGCTGTCTGTCTGTCTGTCGGACCCCTGGGGCTGGCTCCTTGCTCAGAGCTCTTGGCCTGGTTTCCCACCCAGAGCTGGTGGTCTGCTCTCTTGGTGCTCCATCCATGCAGGTCACTGCCAGAGAAAAGAGCTGCAGATCCCCTGGGGTGCTATCCCCCAGCCCAGAGCTGTGAGCTTTCATGTTGTGTCCTGGCATGGTGCTTTCCTCCCTTCCTGCACAGAGCATTGTTGGGGGCCCAGAGCACTCTCAGCCCCTCTGAAAAATGTGCTCAGCCATCACCCATGTGTTCAGAGCGCCGTGCCCATCCCCAGTGAGAAAATAGCTGCTTGTGCATCTCTTTTGGAAGCCTTTGAGTCTTACCAGCATGCCAAGTGTAATTAATGTCCCATTCATTGTTCTGCATTGAGTGTCATGTATGTGCAGCATCTGCAATAAAATCCATCTATTCCTTGTGAAAGGTCATAAGATTTGAGGAAGCCTTTTTTGTGTCTGTATGATGCAGAAGGATGAGGTTGGAGCTGCCTAAAATCTTCAGGGTGTGCTGCAGATGAGTGGGACTGGATGAGCCAGGTGTGCCTCTGGATGGGCTTGGGGGTTTGCTGGGGCTTGAAGCTCTCCTGCAAAAAAAGAGAGTTCAAAAACATGGTAGGAATGGCTAAACTTCCTGACAGTCAGGCCCACATGGTGCTGCTGCCTTCCCCCTGAGCTCTGCTGGTGCTGGCTGTGCCCCTCAGGGATGGGAGGAGATCCCCAGGGACACCCAAAGGTGGGAGATACAGCATGCCCAGCACCTCCTTGCTCTGCTGCAGGCTGGGTCTGACCAGGCAGGCAGAAAGGTTTCATGGTTCTCCATGGTTCTCCTGGCTCCCACAGAGAAGGCTGGATGCCAGCCAGGCAGGCAGAAAGTTTTCATGGTTCTCCATGGTTCTTCATGGTTCTTCATGGTTCTCCATGGTTCTCCTGGCTCCCACAGAGGAGGCTGGGTCTGACCAGGCAGGCAGAAAGGTTTCATGGTTCTCCATGGTTCTCCTGGCTCCCACAGACAGGATAAAGTGTCCCAAAGTCACAGAACAGAATCACAGAACCACCAGGGTTGGAAAAGCCCTCTCAGACCTGTGACTGATCCCCCACCTTGTCACTCACACCAGAGCACTGAGAGCCACGTCCTGCTGAAAATATTTCACTCTCCAAATGGCAGAGCTGTAGTTCTGTTATCTCAAACCACCTTTTGGCCAGTCTGGAGCACGGTGGAGATGAAGCAACAGTCAGTGTTTGCCTGGGAGGGATGAAGCTGCAAAGGCACCAGGACAGGATCCCAGCCCTGGACTGTCCTGGTTTTGCCTGGCACTGAGCACTTCACCAGCCCAGATCAGACTCTCTGTTCTGCTCCACATGTGCTGTAGCTGGAGAGAAAAAAAACTGAGAGAAAAAAATGATGCGGAAACAGCTCCATAAAGCAGCAGCAAGAGGGCTGGGAGGATTCCTGAGGGGAGGATTCCCAGGCCGCTGCCTGCTCAGCGCTGTGCTCATTATCTATCTCACTGTGTCCCAGGGTCCCTGCCCAGGGTGAGACACCAACAACCAGGAGCTCAGCCTGGGGAGCAGCTCCCACTGGCACTGGGAAGGGGACAGCTCTGCTCAAATGCCTCTGACCTAAACTGGAGCTTGCAGGAGAAATGAACAGAAGAGAACAACAACCAGGAGAGGAGAGCTTTACTGTGGAGAGGCCTGGCCCGCAGCATCCTCACACGGGACTCTGAAATTGAGAATTCTGAGAAGATTCTGAGTCTGCTCCCATTGTGAAAACTTCCAGAGTTCATCCCTGGATGCCCGTGTTTCCTGGCTGCCGCTGTTCTCCAGGCAAACAAAAACCCTGAGGAGCCTCTGCCACAGTAAGGAAATGTTTGTGGGGAGTTGGAGGGCAAAGTGTGGGGCATTTATCAGCACATCTGTCAGCACAGCTGGAGAGCAGGGTGAAGGGGCAATGAAAGACGGAGAGAGAAAGGTTGGAGGGGAAAGGGAAGGGAAAGAGGGAGAAGGCAGAGAAGGAGAAAGAAGGAGAGGAAAGATGGGAGAGCTGGGGTGGTTCAGCCTGGAGAGGAGAAGGGAGAGCTCAGAGCCCCTGGCAGGGCCTGCAGGGGCTCCAGCAGAGCTGCAGAGGGACTGGGGACAAGGCCTGCAGGGACAGCACCCAGGGAATGGCTGCCAGTGCCAGAGGGCAGGGCTGGGTGGGACATTGGCAATGAGGAATTGTTCCCTGGCAGGGTGGGCAGGGCCTGGCACAGGGTGCCCAGAGCAGCTGGGGCTGCCCCTGCATCCCTGGCAGTGCCCAAGGCCAGGCTGGGCACTGGGGACAGTGGGAGGTGTCCCTGCCGTGGCAGGGGAAGGGACAGGACCAACTTTAAGGTTCCTCCCAGCCCAAACCATTCCATGGCTCTTCAATGAGGTGGGGATTGGTCAAAGGTGTGACTCAATGACCCTAGATTTCCAGCCTCAGTGATTCTGTGGGTTACTGCTGGGGGTGCTGTCTGGATCCCCCTAGGAAAATAAATCTGCATTTCCTGGTGTTTCAAAGACATGGGTGCAGCCTCCATCTCTGCAGAAATCCAGGCCCTCACAGCACCTGCTCTGCCCACCAGCAATCCCAAATCCTGAGCCACTCATGAAAACCTGACTCATTTATCAGTGCCAGAGAATTAGAGACGAGCTGCAGCACCAGGGGTTGTTTCAGTGCCTGTCCCACAGCCCCACTCCCTCAGGGAAATGATCAGGAGGGCAGGATTTTCCAGTGGGACTCGGGTAACTCCATCAGGGCTGGCAGCTGAGGTGCCTCAGTACCTGCTGGTGATTTCTGAGGCTCCGTGTTCATTCTGTTTGTGTCTAAAGCCAAGTGCTTGGCTGACAGCGCCATCCCTGGAATAGATTTTGGGCACAGTGACAGCAGCAGTCCTCCCACACTGAGTGTAAATCGGGTATAAAAAGCTACAATGTGAGTGCTCCTTGTTATACATCCGAGATGGAAAAGCCCCACACCAGGAGAATAAAGCCTGATGCTATTTCAGTTCTTCAGCACAGATGTGCAGTAAAAACCCCATGTTTCACAACCCAACATTACTTATAGAATTACTCCATTAATAACCTGCAGGGCCTGCCATAAAACCACTTTGCATGGTTGATTTGCACAGACTGGGCACAAAGGAATAACCAGGAAGCTCAGGATGAGCCTGACCTTGTGCTGCCCATCCAGGGCAGGAGGGATGGTGGGCTCATTCCAGCTACTGGCTTGCTGCCTGAAAATAGAAAGGTGCCTAAAGCAAAGCTTTTTCTGTATCTTCAGGCCATCATCTTTGGATCACAGCACTCCTGGAAAACCTACAAATACAGAATAAGGTAAATAATCTGATTGTTTTCTTCTCCAGATATTCTGATTTTTCCATACATGTTTTTCATAGGATGAAAATCCAGTTTGTATGTGCAAAAACATTTGAAAGATCCCTGTCTTCCTGTGCCTGTGAGCTGTTCTGGGGAGGGCTGGGTCGTGGGAGGCAGCACTGCCAGCTCCAGCCTCACTGAGCACATTTCTGACAGGCCACCACAGAACATATGGAAAAAATCAGGCAGCACTGAAGTATTACAGAAAGCACTAAAAATCTGCCGGGTTTTTTTGTTATAATTTTTAATTTTATCCTTTAAAAAGAAAAGCATACAAGTTCAGCTGATGGGTTTATAATTGAAAAGGTTGATTTTACGGTGTTCCGCCTTTTAGAGAATTCAGGCAATTCCTGAACTCAAATGTCAGCATTTTGTCAGCGCATATGTCGTTGCACAGAGCCATAACGGGGTAAAAAACCCGGAGAGGAGCTGCTCCATCAGCGTGGGAGCTCTGAGCATCCCCGGAACGGCCCTGTGGGATCGCGAGCCATGGGAAAGGGCTCGTAAAATAAAACGTCCCCTTTGTGTTTCCCTCGCAGCAGAAGGCGCCGGGCCTGGCATGAGCGTCCCTGGGGGCCATGCCCTTCTCCAACAGCTCTGAGCTCAGCCCGTCCTTCCTGCTGGCCGGCCCGCCGGGGCTGGAGGGGGCCCACTCCTGGCTGCCCGCGGCGCTGTGCGCGGCCTACGTGCTGGCCGTGCTGGCCAACGGCGCCGTGCTGCTGGCCGTGCGCGCCGAGCCGGGCCTGCACGCGCCCATGTACCTCTTCCTGTGCATGCTGGCCGCCATCGACCTGGCGCTGGCCTCGGCCACCGTGCCGCGCACCCTCTGCCTCTACTGGCTGGGCAGCCGCCGCATCGGCTTCGGCGCCTGCCTCACGCAGATGTTCCTCATCCACGCGCTCTCGGCCGCCGAGTCCACCGTGCTGCTGGCCATGGCGGCCGACCGCTACGTGGCCATCTGCCACCCGCTGCGCCACGCCGCCGTGCTCGACGGCCGCGCCACGGCCAAGGTGGGGCTGCTGGCCCTGGCGCGCGGCGTGCTCTTCTTCCTGCCGCTGCCCCTGCTGCTGCTGCCGCTGCCCTTCTGCGGGCCCCGCCGCCTGTCCCACTCCTTCTGCCTGCACCAGGACGTGATGAACCTGGCCTGCGCCAACACCACCCCCAGCGTGGTGTACGGGCTCACCGCCATCCTGCTGGTCATGGGGCTGGACGCCGTGCTCATCTGCCTCTCCTACCTGCTCATCCTCAGGGCCGTGCTGCGCCTAGCGGCCTGGAGGGAGCGGCTCAAGGTGTTCGGCACCTGCGTCGCCCACATCTGCGTGGTGCTGGCCTTCTACGTGCCCCTGATCGGGCTCTCCGTGGTGCACCGGTTCGGCAAGGACCTGGCGCCGCTGGTCCACATCATCATGGGCAACGTCTACATCCTGGTGCCCGCCGTGCTCAACCCCATCATCTACGGGGTGAGGAGCAAGCAGATCCAGAGGACGATCCTGAGCTTGATCCGTGTCACTGACAGAGCTCGCCGGTGACCCGAGCCCAGCCACTGCCCCATGCCCTCACCCTGGCTCACCTGGTTTTACATCAGAGCCTTTGGTGCCGGACTCTGAGCCTGGTGGTGCTCTGAGGGGCGGCCACCAGGCTTGTAAACTCCTCCCGAGAGTGTTGGCCCTCACCAAACTCAGAGAGAAATGACTGCAGTGATCTGAATCCAATCCCAATCTCACCAAACTCAGAGAGAAATTACTGCAATGATCTAAACCAAATCCCACTCTCACCACAGAGAGAAATGGCTGCAATGATTAAATCCAATCCCTATCACACCAAACTCACAGAGAAATGACTGCAATGATCTAAACCAAATCCCAGGCACACCAGACTCACAGAGAAATTACTGCAATGATCCAAACCCAATCCCAATCTCACCAAACTCACAGACAAATGACTGCAATGATCTAAACCAAATCCCACTCTCACCAGACTCAGACAGAAATGACTGCAATGATCTAAACCCAATCCCAATCTCAGCAATCTCTGGGAGAAATGACTGCAATGATCTAAACCCAATCCCAACCTCATCAAACTCAGAGAAATGACTGCAATGATCTAAACCCAATCCCAATCTCAGCAAACCGATGGGGAAATGACTGCAATGATCTAAACTCAATCCCACCCTCACCAAACTCACAGAGAAATGGCTGCAATGATCTAAACCCAATCCCAGTCTCACCAAACACAGAGAGAAATGACTGCAGTGATCTAGACCCAATCCCACCCTCACCAAACTGAGAGAAATGACTGCAATGATCTAAATCCAAGCCCGACCTGGCAGGATCCACAAGAAGGGAAAAGTGACTCCACAAACTTCACAGATGTCCCAACATTGCTCCTCTTGGTTCCCTTCTCACCTCTAACTGTGGCAGAGCAGAGAAAATGCTGGATGGTTTGGGATAATTTAGTTAATTCCTTGTTTTCACATTGAGTACAGTCACATACCAGAAGTTTTGCCAGAAAGTTTGCATGTAGCATCATTCTTTAAGTAAAATAATTCCAGGACACCTGTCCAAAGTGACATTACAGATGCAGAAACACATCTCAGAGAAAGAACATCCACCTCTGTGGTCTCATTCTGACCTGCTGGGTGCTCTGTCAAGACCCCTCAACCTCCTCATAGCAGATACTGTGGAAAAACTTCAGACTCAGAGTTACTGGTAGCAATTGTAAAAAATAATTCAGATTAGTAATTGTATTCAATAAAATGAAAACATCTCAAGGGAAAAAAATAAGCAAGTTGTAAATGTCAGTGATGATTCCAAGCTGAAGGAAGTGTCGTTGCCAAGCCAAAGGTGTTCCACACTGGGAATTCCTAAAACGGGCTCCTGTCACTAGCACCACTGAGCAGAGTGTGGCACCATCCCCTGGCACTTGGAGAGGTGTGGATGGATTGATGGGAACCCTCTCAGTGCTCTCATTACCAGGAGCTGTGGTTTCACACTCGAGGTGGAATCAGGGCTGTTCCCATGGGGGCAGACACAGAGATGCCTCAGGGAGGGGCTGCAGGGCTGAGCTCCCCTTTGGTCACCGTGGGTTTGGCTGCCCAGGGGTGGCACCGGGCCCTGCCAGACCTGTGTGGGGAGCTGCAGCAGCCCTGCTCCGACCTGCACTCCATCAAACCCCAGGGTCTCTGTTAGCATCCCAGAACCTCCAAATCCCCGGGGCTGGCACAGCCCTGCCAGCCCGTGCAGTGCCAGCTGTGCCCACCTTGTGCCCAGCCCAGAGCACTCAGTGCCACCTCCAGGGCACACCTGCAGGGATGGGCACTGCAAAGCTCCCTGGGCAGCCCCTGCCAAGGCCTGAGCTCCCTTTCCATGGGCAAATTGCTGCTGCTGTCCCAGCTGAGCCTGCCCTGGCCCAGCCTGAGGCCGCTCCCTCTGCTCCTGTCCCTGTTCCCTGGCAGCAGAGCCCGACCCCCCCGGCTGTGCCCTCCTGGCAGGGCCTTGTGCAGAGCCACAAGGGCCCCTGAGCCTCCTTTGCTCCAGCCTCAGCCCCTTCCAGCTCCTCAGGGATTCTGCAGCCCCTTCCAGCTCCTCAGGGATTCTGCAGCCCCTTCCAGCTCCTCAGGGATCCTGCAGCCCCTTCCAGCTTCCTCAGCCATTCCCCATGGACTGGCTCTCCAGGACAGAGGCCAGCTCCCAGAGCTCAGGGCCCTTGTCCCTTGTCCATCTCTAGATGGGAGGTGTCACCAAAGGCTCTGCCAGGCCCCAGTGCTGCAGTCTTTGGTGCAGTTTGGTGCAGTTTCTTCCCAGTTCCAGCCAATGCTGAGAGCAAAACAAGCCTCATTTTTTGTAGTCTGTGCTGGTACAGCTTCAGTCTTGGCATAACCTTTTCTGCTAAATCCAACCCCAATTTATTTCAAAATAAATTCTTTCATTTAGGCGAGTTGCAAACGGTTCTCATCTGGGACTTCAAGGCAATTCTGCCCCCTGTCATTTTTGGCATATTCTGGTTTAATAGAGCTTGGAAGGGTAAAAATAATCCGTAAAAATGAAAACAATCTGTACCTGCCTAATGTGATTTGGGAAATGTGAATGAATTTTTCAGAGGCATTATGGGTCTAAACCCTTTTCAGGTGGCCATGGCACTGAGAAATGGCTCCTGCTCATTCCCCATATGTTCCTTTATTTCCTCTTGTGCTGAGAAAAAAAAAAATTAATAAAGAAAAATGAATGAACCACCCCGGAATGCTGTATTGTATTTTCTAGTCATTTATTTCTCAGAGAGTTAATAGAGGCTGGGAGCAGGAAGGCATGCTGGATTGATTTCTCCTGGGTGCAGATAAAACTCACTCGCAGCTTGTTCTCCAAAGTTTAGTCATTGCTTTGCTGGGGAACAGAACATGCTGGAACGTGGCACTTGTTCACAAAGCACACAGCAGCCACCTTCCTCCTGGGACGGCCAGTGCTGAGGGCCCAGGGCACCTCTGCAGCAGAAGGAAAACTTCAAATACCCCGTGGGCACACCCAGCCCACATCTCCTCTGTGAGCAGGGCCAGAGACAGCCGGGGCTGGCCCAGCTCAGCTGGGAAGGGTTGGGCTCATTCACTGCAAAGGGAAGGGTTAGAGCGAGGAAAAAGGAGGATGGGAGAGGTGGCAATAGAGGCAACAAGGACACACACGGGGCTGTAGCAGTGGGAGATCTCCTAGAACATCTCCTGGCATCCTGTCTTCTCCTAGATCTCCTCTGATCTCCAAGTATTCCTTTCCCTCTCCCTCTCCCTCTCCTCTCCGCATCCAGCACCAAGTGAACTGGACAAACACGATTCAGGTTCCCAAATCTGCCTCCTTGCATCATCATCCTCCCTCTGTGCCATGGGTTTGGTGCTCCTGACTTCCCTCTCCACGCCTGGGTTAGAGCTGGGGATGAGAAGCAGCCGAGCAGGAGTAGAGAGCAGGTTGCTGTTGTTTGGAAAGGATCATTAGTACATACTGCAACAGTCTCAATTGCAAACCCAGCAATTAACCCCACATTTACCCTTGAGCTGCCCAGAGCAGGGCAATGGAGCTGGGGAAGGGTCGGGTGGGGATCAGGGAACAGGGACAGGAGCAGAGGGAGCGGCCTCAGGCTAGGCCAGGGCAGGCTCAGCTGGGACAGCAGCAGCAATTTGCCCATGGAAAGGGAGCTCAGGCCTTGGCAGGGGCTGCCCAGGGAGCTTTGCAGTGCCCATCCCTGCAGGTGTGCCCTGGAGGTGGCACTGAGTGCTCTGGGCTGGGCACAAGGTGGGCACAGCTGGCACTGCATGGGCTCCTGGCAGGGCTGTGCCAGCCCCGGGGATTTGGGGGTTCTGGTCTAGTGGAAGGTGTCCCTGCCCATGGCAGGGGGGTGGAACTCAATGATCCATCAGGTTCCTTCACACGCAAGCCCTTCTATAATGCTATGATGGCTCTTAGATCTCCTCCAAATCAAAACACTGGCACAAACCAGGTACAGAACAGCAAAACAGCCCTGTTTGCGAGTTTATTGTCACTGAGTGGGTTAAAAACTGCCACCTTCTCTGGCTCCTGTCTCCAATTAGGCTGAGGTATCGGGGAGATGCAGAGCTCCCTGCTGGGATTGGTGTGTCAGGCAGAAAAACACCTCAGGTCTCTGCAGAGCAGAGTCCCCTGGAGGGGCAGGTGGGTGCTCAGGGCTGGGGCAGCGATCCTGCTCCGCAGGAAGGGCCATGGGGCCATGGGCAGCCCCACACTGCCCTGGCCTGGCAGCTGTGTCCCCTCTGCTCCCCACAGAGGAGTGAACCTTTAGGTAGAGCACCATCAGCAGAGGCAGCTGCCTGGGAGGAGCAAAGAGGAAAACTGCCAGGACTTGCAATTCCTGTGACGTTTAAATGCACATGGGAAAAATGGGGAATGTCCCCAGGGTGCAGGTGGCCCCCAGCCAAAGCAGCTGGGAGGGTTCCAGCTCCAGCTGGGACTGGTGGCAGTGCTGGGATGGTCACAGGGTGACAGGGGTGACACCTGTGGGGATGCAGCAGCGCCAGAGCCCTGCCCGGCTGCATCAGAGCCTGGGGATGTCCACGAGACCAGAACCCCCAAAATCCCTGGGGCTGGCAAAGCCAGCAAACCCCCAAATCCCCGAGGCTGGCACAGCCCTGCCAGCCCATGCAGTGCCAGCTGTGCCCACCTTGTCCCCAGCCCAGAGCACTCAGTGCCACCTCCAGGGGACACCTGCAGGGATGGGCACTGTAGGGCCTGGCTCTGTTCTGGGGCACTGCCCATCCTCTGCTGCCTGCAGGTCTCCATCAGGTGCTGGAAGGTTCCATGTGACGGTGTTCACTGGGGTCTGAGGATGAGGGAAGAGACGAGGATCTGACTCCATGTTTCAGAAGGCTGATTTATAATTTTATGATGTATATTACATTAAAACTATACTAAAAGAATGGAAGAAAGGATTTCCTCAGAAAATCCTTCTGGAAGGAATGCAAGGAATTTCCTCCTGCCCCATCTGCACCTGTTCCTGCCCCATCTGCACCTCCTCC